GCCACCTGGATAGCTTCTGGCTGCTCGTTCGTAGACCAGACAGCACAGTCCGTCAGCTCGAGGACTCTAGCGAGCTCTACGATCGTAGTCTCTAAGATGGACTTTTTGTCGAGCGAGGAGTTGATCCCAGAGGCCAGCATGCGTATACTGTGTGCCGAAGCTTCCTTGCGGCGGAGCAGTCCGACCTCTTGATCGAGCTCCTCCGTTTTGATCTGCATGTACCTGCCCTCCTCTTCCCGTTTCAGGAAGCGCGGGATGTCTCTCAGGAGCAGGAGGGCCGTCGCGGTGGAAATGATAGCCGTTATGCAAGTTAACACGGTAGCGCCCATTTGCATGGCGTGCGTTGGCATCAGCTTTACCTCGTGTGCTCCTGTCATGTGCGTACAGCCACACAGTAGGATGAACAGCACGAATTGCATGAGAGTCGACTTCATGGGGAGCTCTTTATACTGGTAGCCAAAGTAGATCAGCTCGAGAGGGATCGAGAAGTAAGCCAATGAGATGACCGCGTCAGCCCACCCGTGAACCCATCCCGTGAGGCCGTCGTATAACCAAAACCTGTCGAGACATTCGCACACAACCATGGTTCGCAGGACCTACTTGTCCGTCCAGAATAAAATGACTAGCTGGTGACGTACCGGCACTTCAAGCCCGGTCCATCTCGATGCTGGCTTCTTGGAGGATCGTGACAGGCATGAACATCCAGGATTCATTCGCTCGGTTGAAAACCCGGTTTTTCGGGCCGTAGAATCATAGAGAATGATTGCTGCGGAACAGTGGCAACCGTGTCGTAGCTCAACCTAGGAATATACAGCCACAGAAAGAGAACACCAGCAGTCCGCCTATGATTGCTAGTGTGCACAAGAGGGCTATCTCTAATACTGGATATGTCGCGTACGCAGCCTTCTGCATGCAGTTCTCGATCGTGACGTTGGGGGTATTGAATGTGCTCGTGTGACGGCTCATCAGCCATGCAAGTTCCACTGCCCTGCGCTTCATCGTGTGGTCCACCGTCCATCCGTGACTGAAAGGTCTATGGATTGTCTCGATAAGGGCACCGCAGTGCGTGTTGATGGCACGGGAAAGATGCTTTGGGTATGTCAAGCGCCATCCCGTGGAGGTAGCGTAGAATTGCTGTGGGTCCATCTTGTCTGCCCAGAATGCATATGTGTAATCAGAATTAGAAGCCGACTTGGCGGAAGCGATGCTCAAAGATCCTAGGACCGCGAGTTGGAAGAGGATTCGGGTAGTAGGATGTGCCATGTTTTGCATTGCTCAATCGGGAATCGTCGTACGCCCTATATTGCAGCAGGCTGTCATACCAGCAGCACTATCACTCCTGTAGCGCGCCCCCGCGGTCGTGCTTCCAGTCCCCTCAGCCGCCATGGGAAATGACAGCAGGATAGCGACATACAGCCGGAACGACGGCACTCGCGACGTTTCCATTCGAGTTCCTACGCACGACGTCTTTCCGTACATGAATGCCCTTGTCTGCGGAGCAAAAACGGGGCGCGGCCCCTCGGGTGGCGAGCGCCGCTTGGTTGAGTCTGTACGGCGGACCTCGCTACTTGAATGTGCTGCAGAAAGGCGCGGGAACCAGGAGGTATGCGCGCTTGTCGAACGCGAAAAGAGCCCTGAATTTCCTCGGCATCCCTTCCGACCACATAGAGGTCGCCGAGCAGGCATCGCGGCTCGGTGGTGCTACTCCGGCCGATTTCCAGGGACGCTTTACGAATGCGAATACCGGCAGAGTCTTTTATCAAGTAGGCCGTAGCGCACGTGGTCGCGAGATGGTGTCTCCGCCTAGTTGGGACAGCGGAGCCCGGCGCAGCGGCGTAGCCCACAGAGTCTTCCTACAATCTCAGAACGATCGGTAGGTCGCATGTCGACAGATAGGTCATATCATATCATATTGATCATCGGAAGAAGCTCTCCCCGCCTCCACTTCCGCCACAAATTCTTGAAGTCGTCTATCTTCAGTGTCATTCCTGCTTCCTCGTCCGACTGCTTGGTTGCCATGGTTTCATTTCTCAGAAGCTCTACCACCCGATCTTCGATTGCCTGCTTCCAACTCTCTGCCGCTCGCAGAAAATCAAACGTTCCCTAACTAAGGTCAGGAAACCAAGAAGGGCGCCGATTCCGCTTCGGCTAACGGGGATAGGGTCTTCAAGACTCTGGACGGTTTGCAGGCTCTAGCCAGGGCGGCCAAGGGACCCATGAAATGACATTTGCAAACGATCATCAAGGAGATCAAGTCCTACTTCCTCGCCCTCGGCCCATACCCCAAGAGCTGGGTTTGTGATGGCCCGGCCTAATGATCCTGGATGGACGATCCTGGATTCAGACCACGTCATTGCACGAGTCCACGAGCTTGCATCTTGCATTCTATTAGATACACTTGCGATATGTCAAGATTTCATGGGTATCCGAAAGCTGAAAGTAATGGAAACGCGGATGGTATATAGAAACTAACATTACGATGGAGACTCCAAACACTGTCCCAGACAGCACAATTCGTGAACACATGATTTGTGCGCAGGAAAGAGAGAGTACCTCCACTCCCACGTTCTTATTTTCAATGGATGTCCATGGTGGTCTTTCCAATGGTCGAATCAAACTACGATTCTCCTCCCCTCCATGACCCGTCAGAAGCTGTTCGAGTTGGCGTATCACTAGGCGCTGTTCAGCTTTAATGAGAGCACGCTAATGCCTTACGTCTCAGACCTTAGTACCCTAAGATGGCAATGGCTAGAAGAGAAGCAGCTCCAGCGACAACCCCACCAACGAAAGGTCTAAGTGGAGGGGATGATGAAATCTTGGTCTGGAATTCTAAACAATACGGACGATTGTTGCCACAAGCGTTGCAGACCAACTTCGAGTTTCCAGGTGCGAAAGCTTCGCGGTAGAAGCTGCAAAGGCTTGACGGTATCGACCCGGAAAGGTCGTTGGCGGAGAGTCCCAAGGACCTGAGCCAGATCAGGTTGCCGAGCTCCGGAGGGATGGGGCCGGAGAGCCTGTTGCGGGATAGATATAGTTCCCTGAGCCTGGTCAGGTTGCCGAGCTCCCGGGGGATGGGCCCGGAAAGGTCATTCTCGTCGAGGTCCAAGTATACGAGCTTGGCCAGCTTGCCGAGCTCCGGGGGGATGGGCCCCGAGAGGTTGTTGTCCCAAAGGGTGAGGTTCAAGAGCTCCGTCGAGTTGAAGAGCTCCCGGGGGATGGACCCGGAGAGGTTGTTGTGGGAGAGGTCAATATTTTTGAGGTTGGCCAGGTTGCCGAGCTCCATGGGGATTGGCCCCGAGAGGCTATTGGCCCCAAGGCAGAAGTCGCTGAGTCTCAAGCTGCCGAGCTCCGGGGGGATGGGCCCCGAGAGGCTGTTATTCCCGAGGTAGAGTCCGGTCAGGTTGCCGAGCTCACGGGGGATGGGGCCGGAGAGCCTATTGTTGGAGAGGTACAAGTTGTTCAGCATGGCCAGCTTGCCGAGCTCCGGGGGGATGGGCCCCGAGAGGTCGTTGGTGGAGAGGTACAAGGTGGAGAGGTTGGCCAGGTTGCCGAGCTCCCGGGGGATGGACCCCGAGAGCCTGTTGCCCGGGAGGTATAGACCATCCAGGTTGGTCAGGTTGCCGAGCTCACGGGGGATGGGGCCGGAGAGCCTATTGTTGGAGAGG